ACAAAATATTACGCTTTATATAATTCAAGAGAACACCAATTGACTTGTAAATGTCCTCTACATGCTGTTGATGATAGAAATTGTAAAGTAACTTCCACATACAGTACTACAACACCAGCTCATGTTTTTATGGCATCGGGCGACCAAAATATTTACAGAAAAGATACCAATTACGAAAATATTGGCGACGTTGGATATTACAAAGGACTGATATACGTGTTTATGTATAACAACTATATTTTTACTGTTAAAAATTTGAATGGTAGTACTTTTCTTCTTTTCAATAAATACTCTTCAAATGAAGATGTAACTTTTCCAAGTAATTTAGAAGGAGATATGAAATTAACGACATTTGAAAGTGCAAATAATCATTATTTGTATTTAGAAGGAAATTCTTCGACGGGATTTATGGTGAAAGGTGGAACTACTTATAATATTTTATTTCGAGGAAGGGACGGTACTACTCTTGATACAGTAAAATATCCTTTTAACTTTTTAAAAACTAATGATTGTCAATGTTTGTTGATATAATTTTAATAAATAGATATATATATAATTATTATGAAATCAAGATTATTATTAATATAATATTTCATTGTATAATACAAACTACTATTATTATATTGTATTTACCCTCTATTAATTAAAATGGCAACAACTCATTTACTCGATATGGTTTGCACCGGTTTATTATAAATAAAAAATATAGATTGTTAAACAAATTAATGAAAAGTGAGTTATATCACAACGTTAAATATTATAAAATGTATCGCATGTCCCCCAGAACAACAAATGCAAAATGGTTTATGTAATTGTTTATATATGAAACTTGGAACCAACTGTATATTAGACAATTGCATTTCATATGAAAATGGAATATGTCGACAATGTGAAGATGGTTACTTTTATGATGGAATAACAAAAACATGCAATTCATGTGGTCTTAATTGTAACAAGTGTGTAAATAACACTTATTGTTATCAATGTTCTTCCAATGATAATATTATAAGAAATGGGGTTTGTGTGAATTCCAATTGTCTATATTCGAACAGTGGAAAGTGTGTGAAATGCGACAAAGGGTATTACCTTTCAAGTGGAAATTGTGTCGTTTGTAACATTCAAAATTGTGATTATTGTTCGACTCAAACGACATGTTCATTGTGCCAAGTTGGGTATTATTGGGACGGGTTTTCTTGTATGAACAACAAAGGTTTTGTCAACACAAACAACAAACTGATATATTGCACATCAGCTACAGACTATTTGAGTGATGATATATGCAATAATTGTACTTCAGATATTTACAATTGTGAGATGTGTATGGATGGAAAGTGTATCAAATGTCTTGATTATGCCATATACACCAATGGAGAGTGTTTAACAGAATCGTCGTGTAATTCTATAACAAACAATAAATGTCTTTGTAACTCAGAATCGATATATAATGGGAATGCTTGTATTTCGAAAAGAGAAAATTGTTCATATGATAGATTAAGTGGGTGCGATGAATGCATTGAAGACCATCATCTTGTATCTAACACGTGTACGCTACAAGTTGAACAAAATTGTTCTTTTCAAATGTTATCCGCTTGCATTTCCTGTGATTTTGGATTGTATTTGGAGGGTGATGGCAACTGTGTTGAGTGTCCAATAGAGTGCACATCGT